ACACTACACACACACACACACACACACACACACACACACACACACACACTATATATATATATATATATATATATATATATATATATATATTATATAATATACTACACACACACACATATATATATATATATGCATATATATATATATATATATATATAATCATGTCGCGTACATACCACGCTTTCGACATCTTCAAGTGAAACCAACGTTAACCTCTGCTCGAATCACTTTTCCGTGAGAGGATTCTTTGTGTTCCTCTTTCATATGGAAGTTTATATGGACTGCCGGAAATACGTCAAGATGAGCCTACTACCTCGGAATTAAATAGACATACACGTACTAACTTTCGCTATGTTTCACGTCCACAGTTCCACACTGATATCAAAGGATACTTTATGAACTCTTTCAGAGAGATAGACACTAATACTTGTAAACATGTGTTTTAATTTCTTCACTTGTTGATTCACCGATATGGGTATGACGTCTTAACTGGCATGACGTACCATGGTGTACCTGGTCCCTAGTACTTTTTCTTGGTCGAGGTGTATTTGGAGGGGGCCCATAAATATCGATCCCTGCCATTGCGGATTGACCGGATGCGGTTCGGACTTTGGACACTGGCTCGGTTGTTTTTAAAGTTTTATGTTCAGCTGTGCCGTATAAAGACCTGACCGAGGAACACATATTTTTCGATACTAAATATGGCGAAAAATTGGCATATTATTTTAAAATAGTAAATATGCACCGAAAACGTTAAATATGAAAAATGAAATATGATTTGAAATTTGGAAAAAATACGTAATACCGTGTTGATTTCAGAAATATGGCAAAAATAATCATATTTGGTATAAAAAAATTGAAAAATGCCATATTTAAAAAAAATATGCCACATTTCTAAATATGCCATATTTCTGAAATATGGTATATTTATTTATGAAATTGCCATTCTTCTGAAATATGGCATATTTATGAAATATGCCATATCAATATGTACAATATATATAAATATATATTTACGAAATATAATATTTAGTATTTCACGGCTGTATTATAGGAATTGTATAGGCATATAGCCTGTATCTTGCAGTTCTATCAAAGGATTTGTATAGGCATAATGACTGTATTTTGTAGTTATAGTAGAATAATTATATAGGCAGAGTGGCTGTAGTTTGTAGCTATATTAAAGGAATTGTACAGATGTATAGTAGCTGTTTTATAGCTGATGTAAAATATCGCATATACATTTTCTTTCATAAACTATATTAAATAATATATTTCGTGAATATGTATATTGTACATATGGCATATTTATGAAATATACTATATTTCATATATATATATATATGTATGTATGTATGTTTGTATGTTGTATATATATATATATATATATATATATATATATATATATATATATATATATATATATATATATATATATATGTATATGTAAATATAAATATATATATATATATATATATATATATACATATATGTATATGGATATATATATATATTTATATATATTTGTGTTTTCATGTAATTGGAATTATACCAAATATGACGAAATAACATCAAAAATTACAAACCGATATGTTGAACACTCTTTTTGACACTATTGTAGTCGGGCGATACCTGAAAAACGCTTTTTCACAATACATCCCAATTCGATATTTTGTCTCCTGAGCGCATCTTGGTCACAGAAGACGTTATCCACACTTGTCACGTATCCTGCCAGAAGGGACATTGTGAACTTTATAATTCACAGGCATACAAATAATTGTTCACACCTATCAATAGAATTGTCATTGAGCTCTGTTACCAATTTCAGAGCTATCGTACCAGTAGTATAGCGTCAGTTGCAATTTAACTTGTTTCCGCTCGATGCATGTTGACCACCTTTTTCAAATAAGGTGGCAAGTTGTTAGGGTTTTATGAAAATTAATTGATTTTTCGAACAAAATAAGGTGTCAAAAAAATATTCAATCCAGTTTTATACTTTGGTGTCATTATTTCAACACCAATCACATATATTATATACACAAGTCAACACATAGATCGTTAGTTTATTTGACATATATACAGTGACAATATAAGCGCACATACCTAAATATGCCACCCCAGTGCACAGTATTCAAGTGCAGCTTAATCTGTACATCTTCTTGCTTCACTGCTAAATGATCTCTGTCGAGTTCTATGATTCAGAATAATGACATTACAAAAATGCGAGTTTAGATGTCATATAACTCTTGATTTATTTATTATATAGATCTTTTATCTTTTTAGTGTACATAAACCAAGTGTAAGATCTTTATATATGTTCATACATAGTATATTACTATGCTACGTTGTGCATATGTGTTGTGCATATACAAGGACTGTTTATCAATGTGTTTTTAACTTTTAGTATCAACTATCGTCACACATACTAAATAACAAGCTATGTCAAAACATAATAATATGAAGTATTTATGTGGAAATATAGGCGAAATAATAGATATGAGGAAATTATATAAGAGAAATAATAAATATGTAACATATATATTTTTTTGGAAAAATAATAAATGAAACATGCACGAAATATATTTTTAGGAAAATATTAAATATGAAATAAATATGCCATATATTTTTCATAAATATGGCATATTATATAAAAAAATATTACATTAACGTTCAGCTTTTATATCGTATACACAACAACCGATATTGTTTAGGTGTAGCTTTCTAGGTCATATATCATGTCCTAAAGATACGCAAATATGTATGCGTGTCGGTTTTGGTTGAATATAGGTGCAGTTCTGGAGTGCAAAATCCACGATTTCGACCATATAATTTTGAGTTTATAAAAGTTAAACCGATTATAAATTGAAAAAACAACGGTTAACGTTCAACCTATATCAACACTACGTATAACTTAATGACGTTAGGACTCACTCTAGTAAGAAGACTCATCAGTAGTCACTCTCTCTCACTCTTGAGTCTGAGAGTCTGCGACACACGCTCTCTACATACTTGATACTAACTACTACAGAGAGAGAGAGAGGGTAGCGAGAGAGATTGAGACTCGAGAATTGAGAAGTCGAGAGTGACTTGGGACTACAAATAGATATACGTTTAAGTTGAACTCTAATTCCATGTGGTACTTTGTATTCTTATAGGTGCATCTTTCGGGTCTAAAAGTTTCAGTATGTACCGTTTTCAGCATACGATAAGTCCTATATAAAGAACATAGGTAGGCCCTTCTGGTCACATTATAACCAGTATAACGTTTTAAATTGAATAAATATGCGTTTACGTTCAGCTTCTATTCCGTACCGCTATAACGTAATGAGGAGAAAGAACAACGATAAAAATTAAAATGAGGACTGAGGCCCAGCTATACCGGTTTTGTGGGAGTAACTCATTTTCCAGAGAACACGTATATACAGTACTTTGATTGGATATAACCAACTATTCTTCTGCCCGGAATTTGTACTTTTAACGATCTGAATGTTGAAATGGTTTTATCAGCCACTATTGGCCAATCAAAAACAATAAACGAACGCATAAGTTATAATGAGGGTAAAAATAGAAAAAAGTGCATTTTAGTTAAATTAATTGCCTTCTTCGGTACAAAATGAATAAAGAACGCGTAGAAAAACTACCCCTTTCAAGTTTCTACTCACTCTGTGGTCTGCCTTCGGGGACGGGCAAGTTTGGGGGAGTGTGCAAGAAGTGTGGACTTGCGGACTGAGGAGTGTGGACTCACTGGACTGTGAGTCTGTGACTGTGAGTCTGTGACTGTGAGTCTGTGACTGTGAGTCTGTGACTGTGAGTCTGTGACTGTGAGTCTGTGACTGTGAGTCTGTGACCGTGAGTCTGTAGATGACTTGTTGTCAGTTGTCAGTTGTCAGTTGTCACTCTCCTGGAGTCCTGAACTCCTGACTCTTGAGTCTCTCTCTCCTGTTGTGTGTGTTTATAAAAATAAATAAATGGGAGACTGACGTCTGAGACTGGAGAGTAAAAATTACTGAGACTGAGCTGAGTTCGAAATTGAGAGGCGTGAGCCGCTGAGGCCGTGAGCGCCAGCGGTGAGGTTCGGGGCCGAGAGTCTGAGAGTCTGTGACGAGTCTATGACCTTCGATACATTTAGAGTAAAATATAGCGTTTTGTGAATATACAATTTAGTTCTACTATTGCCGTTTCCGTAGCGTGTAGAATAGTGAATTTACGCACAGTCTGAATCCACTAGGCTGTAGTACGTTCGTAGGAGAACTTTCAGACAGCAATACGCTATTAATATCTGCTTTATCGGGCCTATTCCGCACATATAGAACAACGGCACTATGGGGCTTGTGAAAGATTTAGTTCGAGAGATTGATCGGGTTGTGTTGCCTAAGCACCGATATACACGGACCCAGTTGAACCAAGGTCCGCCACAACCGAAGCCTCAACCAATTGGCTTCGTAGGTGATCAACAAATAAACTTTGTCCCATATGATTCTAGGAGTGCATGCACACTCAGCGATGAAGATATCGGTAGCTTAACGCCGACTCCTCGTACACCGACTTCTAAACAACGTTTCACCTATAATGGATTGCCCAAAGAATCGACTGTGGAGCATGTTGTTCATCGTCCACAACATAACAGTAGTAATAATATGGCATCACATGCACGCACAGTACCGAGTAAGGTACGAACGCAGCCTGCGGCAGCTCCCATAGGTATTGATAAGGCAAAGAAGACCGCCATGGGGTCACCACGGTTAGTACGTAAATCAATCAAGGTAAAGGTTATGAAGAAAAGCAATCAAATTGTGAACGAGCCCGAAAGTCAAAGGCACGATGCGAATGATATATTAGGCCCGAACAATAGAGTTTCTAGTACACACGGTAGGGTGCGTGATAGGAGTGCCATTAGTCGTGAGGCTCTACAAGACGGGTATGATGCAAGATCAATTCAAAGCAATGATTCGTTTGAAAGCAGGGATTCGACCATGTCTGCACGAAGGGAATCATTGGGGAAGGGTAGACCACAAAATCAACATTATTTGAACAATAGAACAGTTATAGATAGTAATGATAAAAACGATTCATCAAATCATATGCGAGCCCCCACACCCCCTCATAAACGTGTCGTGCGCGTGCTTACTAAACGCGCTGCAACAAGCCCCGGTAGTATAGGTGCTTCGGAGCAAACGTCACCGAAGAAAGCGGGTGGAAATATTGGGGTTACGGATGGTAATAGTATAAATGTGGAATGCAGCGACGGAGTGTGTGGATGTCAGCCGACCTATGGTGTTCACAGGTGTTTGACTCCTCCATCGTATTCTGACGCGCTATTAGATGAACACGTGACACATGCCACCCATAGCGGGACGGCTAAGACAAAGGTGCGAAGGTCCAGTAAATCACACTTGCATACCCAGACAATTCCAAAGAGTGTCATAAAGACGCCCAAACCCCGATTGACATGGAACGAAAGTACCTACATATATAATACCTATGGAGGGCTTGGTAACAGGCAGGGTCTCGATAGTTATGAAGACTTCAGCACAATGGATGTCTACGATAGAAGGCCGTTCCCCTGTACTTATACGAGTGCCTTGAGCGCTGAAGATGTGGACAACATCAAAGTGGAAGTAGGAGAGCTACACAGAGAGCTGTTTGGGTTCTACCCTGAGTACTGAGTCAGATAAATAAATTATAAAGCTTGGACCCCAAGCCATACCGTCGATATCTTAAACCCTAACCCCCCTTTCAGAATTGTTGCCAAACCCTATCAGTGAAAGGTATTTCTGGTATCACCCAATACTAACGGCAGTGTCGTACAAAGCAACGGACAACACTGAAGCATTTAGACTGTTGTTTATTTATTTGTGTTAGGAGTGTAATCCAGCAGGTTAATTTAGAACGATTGTATCCTGTGATTGGACGTGTCCGAAACCCAAACCATGCCGTACGGGTCAGTGCAGATACTGGTGGGCAATGTGAATTCGCCATCGCCTGTCCCCTGGTAGGTAGATGCGGAACGAACGAACGAATCGATGAATACGCCATAGTCATTGTATACGAACACTCGTACGGCTAGGGTTATACGCAGTAGCCGAGATCAAGTAGCTGAATGAATAGGCGATATATGTGCGCATTATATACAAACCAAATCTATTTTGTACAGCTTTTCTTCTGGGAGGGTTTTCATAAAGGCTGCAATTGTTGGTACCAATCTACAGTAGGTGTAAGTATGCGTGGATGCTCTGGTCAAGTACGATAGCACAGACCGATACACACCACGAGCTTACAAGCCGAGCATGTTCTAAAGATAGCACAGATTGTTAGCACTTTAACATACCCTCCCTCCAAAGGTGCCCAGGAACGTTCCTCTCAGACTATACAAAGCGACACGATGCCTCCTGCATGATTGTAATTGTTTAGTATGTCAGGAGTACATCAATAGATCGGTGTAAACTCGTTACCTCTCTATGTGCAGAATATGAAAACCCTAGACCTTACAAACCCTAGTCTATGTTATATATACAGTAGCAGCTGGAACCAAATTTTCAGCAGCAATAGCGGAACGATGTACAATCTCCTCTGTCTAAGGGGGCTGCTAAGGCCATTGAAGGCCTCTCCAGACAGTGAAAGGTAAAGTTATTATAAAGAAGTATAACACGCGACTAAATGAAATCGATTTGTTTTATCCAAGGCTATACCCAGACAGTGAAAGGTAAAGTTGTTATAAAGAAGTATAACACGCGACTAAATGAAATCGATTTGTTTTATCCAAGGCTATACCCAGACAGTGAAAGGTAAAGTTGTTATAAAGAAGTAAAATATGCGACTGAATAAGATCGATTTGTTTTATCCCACGATATCCCCAGACAGTGAAAGGTAAAGTTGTTATAAAGAAGTATAATGCGCGACTGAATAAAATCGATTTGTTTTATCCAAGGCTATCCCGAGCGGCATATAATTTCGAAGCACACACGCCAAACTACGCTATATCGTGCACCAAATCGCCTAACTCTTTGTAATGTACTGTAACCTTCCCCACAGAATACTCCCGCGAAGTAGGTGCCGCTTTCACTCAGCCACACCCGAGAACCCTCACTTCTCATATCACACACACACATGACACACATGCACAGCATATGCACATACAACACACATGCACAGCATATGCACATACAACACACATGCACATAACATGTATATACAACACACATGCATAACACATACCCTGAGTCCACAACTGCTACTACGCTATTTCCGGACAGCAGCGCTATTCCCTTTGGCGTATTCAATAATTCCTTCTCGGGCCCGGAGGCACCGAAACTATATATGAACTCGCCGTCTGTTGATGCATATGGGCACGTGAAGTGATGGGTGTATGTGTGAGTGCAATTTCTATACAACATGCAATAGTGAATGTGCACGTGTCAGTGCTCTAGCAGGCGCATGTGTGTGGTATGCGTGCACATACATTAACATATTATTAGTAATACGTATACATACATGCGTGGGCAGGAGTGATGAGGGGTGGTGGAAGAGTAGCCAAGGGGTTTGCATATGTGAGAGTATTCGAAGGGATTTTAAGTAGTAGCCTTTGGTTGTTGTGCGAACAAGTGGGAAGCGAACTACTACGGAAAGCTGATGCAATGCCCGAGGGATAGTTATGGCGCCGAGACACGGCAACGTCTCCGAATTACACACCTTAATCTTATATCAATATGCTTAATCAAACATCAAACTTAATATATTTATGTCTGTACATACATAGATACATCGATGCACACACACACACACACACACACACACACACGCACACTATATATATA